GAGCTGGGATTCAAACCTAGGGCTGTCTGTTGGCCGCACCTTCTGGAAAAGTTGCAGTTGTTCTTTGTGCTCTCTTTGCAGTTTTGGTCAGGCTGGTCCAGGGTGACTGGGCTGTGTGCTTCCCTGGCGCTTCCACTCATTCTCCACCACACGAGATTTCGTGGCAGGTGTATGGTGGCGTTTCCAGGCACTGTCACCATGTGGGAGTTGGCAGAGGCTACCTGGCTTGCCTTGTGCTCACATCCCCGCTCACCACGGAGGCTGCAGCTGCCCTGGTCTGACACTAACACAACCCTCCCTGGGCAGCACTTCCCACCGCTGCAAAGCTTCTCTGTACAGCTTGAAAAGCTCAGCATCACAGCCGTGGGCGGTCCCTGGAGAGGCAGAGAGTCCTGCTATCGACAGGCGTATTGACTTTCAAAACCACAGCGCTCCAGCCTCGGGGCACTCTTTGACTCATACTTCCTTTCTCAGTCTATAATGCGGCAAGGGTCCAGCGAGACAACGGGAAAGGCAGGCACAGTGCTGCCCAAGTGGGTAATGAGGAGTGGCTGGAAGGGAAAGACATTAAAGAAAGGATAACAGTAGCCAAGATCAGAGGGCACAGGTGCCAGGCAGCGTTGAAGTTGCTCTGTGGGTGCAATATCATGGAATTGTCACAGCAGTGCAGGAGTGATGGGCATGGCCTGATTTTTGCAGGGCAGAGAATTGGGAATCCCAGAGATGATGTGACTTATCCAAAGTCACTCATATAGGAGTTAGAAATGATATTGAGTTCCTCTGGAGCCAGGAATCTTCATTTGCTTGGCTCTTGCAATGTTGATGTGCTTTCTAAATGTTTTTCTATGTAGGTGCACTTGATACTTTTGCTAGAACAAATAGTCCATTGGAGTTCTTACCTTGCAAAAGAGCACTTGCGAACATTAATAATATATTCATTGATCCTCATGAAGGCTTTGTGAGGCAGGCAGGGTATGTCGGATCCCATACTCGAGGATAATGGGACCAGAGAAGTTAAACAACTCCTTCCCAAGTCGTGCAAGCAGATGCAAGACCCGAAATCCACATAATCCAAAACCTGAGACCCGGTTGGATATCTTCCCATGGGTTCCATGCCTCTCTTCTCAGAAGCCCAGGATTGTTAAGGGGCCAAGGGTATAGTGTTAGGCATTGGGGCCGTCTTGGATGTGAGTCCTGACTCCACAGCTCCAAAGCTGTGTGTGGCCTGTATTATACAAAGTCTTTCTGAGTTCAGCTTTCCTCTGCCAAAAGTAAGAAGAATAATAGTAGCATCCACCTCCTGGCTATTATGAAGATTCAATGTCAGTCCATGTAAAGTCAACCATCAATGGCTAGAAGCTATTGTTTTTCTTATAGAGTACTATAAAATCTCTTCATCTGACTGTGACTGCCAAAGAACAATCCCATTGAAGAAACCACCATGAGTACAGTAGAGTCTGAGACTCCCACCGGCTCCGGTGTGTTTCATCCTTTGAGATTCCCGGGGAACCTGACTGTGTCCGGTGCCAGTTTTGTGAATTCAGTGGGAAATGATGGCCTTCAGTTCCCTCTCCACTGGCTTCTGGCCTTTCAGGAGGAGAGGTGAGGGTAGGGCTGAATTAAAGACCCCACCTGCGGATGGCTCCACAGTCCCCACGATCCTCGGAGCTGCTGTCCCTCTCGGTGGCTTCGGCAGCGTTCGCGGTAACAGTGTTATTCTCTTTGGTCTTCTGGGAGTCCCCACCAGCATCATTAATCAAAGCACCGTGTTGCTTACTCGTACTGAAGTATCCTCACCGCCTCATCAATCATAAAAGCAGCAAAGGGTGTGCTGTGGATTTCTAAAGAAAACTCCAGACAGCACCAGAAGAAGAAGAAGAAAAAAAAAAAAAACTTGTGTGGGGACAGGGGAGCTTAATTATCAGCTGGTGCTTGGCCCATCACTCACGCTGGAAATGTCTTTACGGCTTTATCTGGGTTGAGTCTCTTTTTAAATCCTGGTAAACAGCCGTTAAGCTAAAACCCTCATTGCTCGCACGGGGGACCACTGGTTTTCGAGCTATTATTTTAATAAGGCCTATTTTACAATTAAGCACCATGGGCTTTAAATTACATATAAATAAAATGTGGAAATTGAAGCCTTAAGTGTGTGACTGCGTCGTTAGAGAAACAGCAGCCGCTCTTTGTGGTAAAATGCTGTCTGTGAAACGAATAGAACAGAAGGCTGGGGCGGGCGGGGTAGGTCCCTCCATGATAAAAACAGTGCAAAACAAAAAACACACACACTACACACAGACACCATCAGAAAGGCCTGCTCGTTTCAGTGAGGATTCGGGGTCATGCCTAAATGGCGCTAGATAGTAACAACAACAACAACAGTCATACTGAATTAGTAATAATAATAAGCTAGAATTTTTGAGCGCCTTGTTACATGCCAGGCACCAGCTGAGAACTTCTCCTGCATGGTTCATCGACCACTAAGTCTAAGAGGGAGATGCATTGTTACCCTATGACAAAGAAGGAAAGGGACTCCAGAGGCCACTGGCCAGAGGTCTCAGTGCTAGCAAGGGACAGAGGTAGGAGCTAAACCCAAGTCATGTGTGTTGTAGCTATTGCTGCCCAGAGGCCAAATCATTAATTTAACCAACAAATATCTTTGAGCACCGAGAACTGTGCTGGGCACTGGTATAGTCCATCTGCAAAGGAAACGGCCATGGTCATGCCTTGTGGGGTTACAATCCACAGGAGGTTCACGTGATAAAAAGGAAGCAGTTGCATGGATTTGTGACCAAGGATCAGGAAAGTGTCCTGAAGAAACAAGCACAGTGTGGTGAGGGGAATAAGGAGGGAGGTTCTACTTAGTTGGGTGGACAGGGACGACCTCCCAAGGAAGTAACGTGAAGCTGAGGACAAGAAGAGAAGCAGAGCCAGCTGCAAGAGGAAATGGCATGCATGCAGCCCGGCAGAGGGAATGCTTTTGGGGACTCCCAGGAACAGAAGAGGGACCAGTGATGCCGGAAGTCGGTGGGTGAGAGAGAGTGGAACTAAATGAGGACGGAGAGTCAAGTGAGGGTTAGCCCCTTCACGACCCCATGGTAAGGAACCCGCTCTATTCTGAGTCTTGGGAGACCGTTAGCCAAGAGCGACTCATGCTCCAATTTTAAATAGGTTGCTTGGGCTGCTGGTGAGACGGATTGGAAGTGTGCAAGAGTGAAAATAGAGGGACGAGCTTGGAGCTTCTTGCAGCTGCCTAGGAGGGCCAAAAGGGCTGGCAATGGAGACAGAGACTGGATGCGTGGGGGTAGAAATAGTGAGGTTATTGTCAACCACCCAGTCCCCAACAGCCAGCCGACACTCTGTGTTGTGTTGTCCCAGCGGACGCTCTGTTATATTGTCACCTGATTCTTGCCCTCCCAGACATAGTTCTATTCGCTCCTTTCAGCAAGACTTCATGTTCCAAACTGTTCCTCCCCTCTCTTCTTAGAATGTCCATAGATTTGTTAAAGACTTTGCTGATCTGATCAGTCAGGCCCTCCTCCCTCTTGTAAAAAAAAAAAAAAAAGATATACATAGGCTAATATTTTCTAATACCACCCATCCACTGTGTTGGCATTTAAGTCCAGAGGGTTTGAAAAGGCTTGCAGGATTCTTCTACATGTAAATGAGCCTGGTGCAAATCGGACCTGTCCGCCCTGTGGACAGCGGGACAGGGGCGGGTGATGCCAGAAATGGCCATTTACCTTTGCAAAGCATCGCAGGCCGGAGGTCTTTGAGATACAGCAATGGGGGCATACACTTGGGCTGCCTCTGCCCAGGGTCCAAGGACACTCCCATGGCATGTCTTCACCCCCCCCCCAGAAGATGAACCTCCTCTAAGAGGAACAGGGGCCGTGACCCGCTGTGTCATACACTTGGAGGCTTTGCACTTTTTGTCCACAAAATCCAGCTTCTGGGTGGTACTGAGTCAAATTCATTAACGTCTGGCAGCTGTTTGGGGGCTTATGGAAAATGACTTGCAGCTTCATGGTTTGATTCTCGGTTTGGCCCTTCACAGCTGGCAGCTAACTTGGCAAGCAGGATGGGGCCCCCGGGGTGGGGTGAGGGACTTTCTGAAAGGAGTGGTCTTTTTAAGCTCTGCTTACATCTCTGGCTAACAGGGAAGCCACAAAGGCCAACACTGGCAGCGTGGAGCCTAGAATCTTCAAAAACTACTCTATGTAGGTGCCTCTCTCCTGTCACTCCCTAGAAGTTTATTGGGAAGATTCTAAGCAGAGATATCTGTCGTTGTTTGTTGTCAGGCCTGCCCTATGTAGAATGTATCTTCTGTTTTCTAAGAACTCATTCTCCCACCCCCTTGATCCACTTGATTCCTGTGGGAGAAACCATATTTTTGCAATGTGACCTCTTCTCTGGCTTTAGTTAATGGAAGATCAATCAGACTCCCTCCCCTAGGAGAGTAGAACTGAGATTAAGGTCTCAGTGGGGCTGGTCTCTTCAACAGAGGAAATAAAATCCTACCAGCTGGGGAAAACCAAGTTTTCCCTCAGGTAATGTTAGGGAAATTAACACTACCTATCACAATGGACAACCCCCAAATTTCTCATTCATGCTTGTAGAATGCCACAGGAGCGCATGACCTCCGGGTTGTCGTGGCAGGGGAAAAGAAGGTCACAGGGGAGGGGGGGATGTTTTTAAGGTCCAGGCCTTACATCACTTCCATCTGCATTTTACTGGCCAAAATTAAATTAAATGGTTCAAACGTAACTATAAGAGAGGCAGGCAAATGGAGTCTCTCTGCATGGTGTAGTGAGCATGCAGCCTTGCTTTACCACCTGTGTGAACCTATGAACAGTCAGTCCCCAAAGAGGAAAGGAAATGAAATAGGCACATGCTACAAACCTCTTTGCAATGAACTCCCATTGCGGGCTATGCTAGCTCAAGGGGGTCTCTGTGCTTGCAAACAAAGAGTGGTGTGCAAATCCAGCCTTCAGCATCCACTGTTTAATGACTCTTTGAAAGACTTGAAGATAACACTGCTCAAGGTCAAGCCCGACTCCTCACAGTGATGAAAATGCAAAGTTCCACATGCTCAGGACTCTGAGCTTCCAACCCTAAGTAGTCTTAAGGACAAAGGTATTCCGGTGTTATGGTCTGTTGGATTAGGTTTAAAGATGAAACTTTCTCATACCACCAGCTGAAAGATTTATGCTTCAACGCAGTCATGATTATTTTTTGAAAGAGTATTCTGTTCTCTTACAAAGGTCATGTTCTGTTGCACTTCAGACAAAGGGCTGGGGAGCAGGGAAGAGGCCTAAGTTCAAGAGCAGAGCAAGGGAGACAAGAACTCGATTAGTACCAGGAAGATAAAGTGCAGATAAAGTGGGAGGCATCTGGAGGCTGTGATCTCAGTGGTGGCAGGGAATCCCCAGCTCCTAAATGTTCCTTCCACTCTGACTGCTCATCTCTGAAACCCCATCCTAGGAACTTCCTTGATTCCCATGGCTTCAGTCTTTACAAAGCTTTCCAACCCATCTTCTAGCCTCAGCATTCCAAAGCTGCTGATTCCTTGTCAAACTCCACTCTGTCATTCTCTGCTCTACTGTACCCTTCCCTCTGCCTTTCCCTTGGCCTTCTTCTCCCCATGGAAAATTCCCACTCACCTTCCTCCACCCTCTGCACAGCCTTCCCCGTGCAGCCGAAGGTGACCACCCCTTCTTCTGTGGCACCATTATTGCTCCATTATTGGTCTGTCCTCCATTATTGCTCTGTCTTTAATTATTTGCTCCTCAGCTGGCCTCCACGGTCCCCGCCCAGGCCCTCAAATCCCAGCATGGGAACTCCTTAAAGGTAGAATTTCTTCTTATTTGTACATAAACTCCTATGGAATTATTAATTGTCTGACACAGTGTAAATGCTCATTAAAAGACTAAATAAATGAACAATCAATTGAATGTATGAATCTGTAAAAATAGTTACCTCTAGGAAGAATAACCAATCAAGCCTTAGCAAATATTAAAATATATAAGTAAATGTTGATCAGCTGGTTTGAGCTTCAGGGTGTATGAAGATGGGTTTTGTTATTGATGCTAAAGGTGATTTTTGCTTTGTTTTATTTTTTCTCTCTCTATATTTTCCCCATGGGGTGCTCAGGCTCTCGGCTCTTCCTCTGGAGCTTTCAAATATGCTTTCTCTGTCTTTGATTTTTCTCTCCTCTGTCTTGCAGTACAGTTTACTTCTATCCCTTGCTTCCAACTTGCACGCGCAAACTCACTGGCGTGCTTAACAGAACCAGAATGTCAGTTCCACTGGGGAAGTGACCACGTTTATCACATCCATCAGCATCCCCATTCCTTAGAACAGTACCTGGCACACAGAAGGTGCTCAATAAATACTTACTGGCTAAAGGAAGGGATCCACAAATCAATAAAGATGTGAAAGAATAAAGTCCTTCCCATTAATATGCTTTTGACTTGTTAGGAAGCACACTGGATTTTAGATGGCATTTTTTTTTTTCCTGCTAGAAGAGGATAATAAATTGGTTTTATCTCATCTGAAATTCTGATCAAGTGGCTGTGGCTGGCTAGAACACTCTATTGAGAAGAATTCAAATTGGGATCAGTAGAAAAAGAAGACCATGATTGATTAATGATGTCTGTCATGGACAAAGGGGGAGAAAGCGCTAATGCATCCCTGAGCTAGAGGAAATTCTAGGGTAACACATAAGTAATACTTGACCATGTGATTCAGACTGTAGACATCAGTGCCCAGTGCTAAGACATAAAGGAGGTCTGGGGGGTGATAAAGTCTACAATACCTAGGTACTTTGAACTAAAATAAAAATGGTAAGAATTTTTTAAGTAAATTGGTTTAAAAACTTCCACTGAAATCTATAAATAAATGTGATTATCAATTTAAATTGCCAAAGCACCAAAATATGAAGCTGCAAAATCTACCCATCCAATCATATTATATAGAAACTGAAGCAGTTGTTTTGGTATTTTGGAAAAAAATCACCTTGAAATTCTCAGTGGTCTTCATTAGTGTCATTCATCCCTCTCTTCTGCTGGGTACGTGGTAAGATTGCATCTTTCCTGGCTCCGAGAAGTTGAACGTGATCCTCAGATTTGCACTGGTCGATGAAATATGTATGGAGGTGACCTGTGTTCCCTTTGGGCGAAAGCCTTTAAGAGCCAGTGCATGATTTCTCTCTTCTTTCCACCTCCCACGGCCATCAGCCAAGTACCATAGGGTTGGGACTTCTTCAGCCTGACCCCCTGCCTGAAGACAGCATTGAGAGGAGTAGCATCTGCAGTGGACATGGAGCACAAGTGAGAAACAAACCTTTGTTGACATTTTTAAGACACTGAAATGTGTGAGTTGTTGATCACTACAATATCACTGACGGATGCATTCTTCAAATGGGGAATTATGATATGTCACAGCACAAGGTCCAGATAAGACGAGTCGCTAAGGGCCGGCTACTTGGCTAAGCGCCCCCTTCTCTAAACTCTGGCTTCTGTTCATCTGAAATATTTAGGAAAAGAATCAATAGAGGGAGAAATGAAAGCTCTGCCTCCCACTGCTCCTCCCCATGAACCTATGCTCCAGCCGAACAAAGCTAGGCACTGTTCTTTATAATCACCCACAGGCTTTCTCATTTCATGCCTTTGTTCCCACTGTCCTCTCTTTTTAGAAACCTTTCTATCACCTTGCATCCAAGTCACTCTTGTCTTCCAAGGACTAGCCACAATGCGCACTCCTCCAAATGTATCTTCCCACCAGCTAGGAGGGGTGTCTCCCTCTGAACTCTCAGAGTACTTCATGATTATCTCTCTTATTACACTTTTCATTGTCTACCATAAAGGTTTATTGAATGATCATATGAAAGAGTAGAGGGAGGGGGGAAATGGAGAAAAAGAGAAGGCAGCAAATTCAGGGCATCGTGGGCAGCAGTGTGGAAATGACATTTGCCAATCTGGGAAATTGGACTTTGCCTCTCAGTTTTGTATTCTGGGCTTTTTCCTTAACACACTACTCCTTATTGTAGTCACCATTTATGTGCTGCTACACTTTTCCCGTGCCCCACGGTTGCCTCCTCTCAACTCTGCCTTCTGATTAGTTATGATGAGTTAATTGTTCAGATAGCTGTAGCCTTGCTGACAGGTAAAGGAATCCATGATCCTTCCTGATTAATGTAATGCACACTTCTCCCTCCTCCTTTGGCAGCTCATGGTACATTGTGACAGCAATTCTAGGGCTCCAGGATATACAATTTGAAAAATTATAACCTCAACTCCCACAGGGGGTGGCCCTTTTGAAAAACACAAACTAATTTGTAGGGCCCAGTGCAAAACATAACTTCTGAGCCCCTCGTTCAAAAATGATTGAGAAGTTCAAGATGGCAATAGGAGAGCATCACATCGAGGCTGAGGCCCTTCCAACTGCCGGGCCCTGTGCAGTTGCACAGCTCGCACACTCGGGAAGTCAGCCCTGGGGTGTGAGGTGGGAGTTCTCAGTGCCTTCAAATCACACAGCGTAGGTGACTGTCAATGCCAGCTATATTTTAGGTCCTCTCCAAACTGGTGATGCCTCCATTTCCCTCTTCCTATCTGCTAGGCATGTCTGAACCACTGTATGAAGACACTTCCAGGAATCAACTATCTAAGGAGTCTGACAACCTTCAGGGATACTGCCTGCTGGGCCTTTGTTCTCTGCAGAGAAAATCGCTCAGCTCCCCCCAACCACCCTTCAAGAAGCCAAGGAAGAGTTTCGATTTGCTCTCATTCTCCTTTAACGAATGTGTTCATCTGCCAGACGAACTACCTATTTCTTGATGGAGTTAAAAGTTTTCCCGTGTCTTCTAAGAACTATGGTCTTGAAGGTCTGGGAGTATATTTTATTTTATCTTTTAAAAAAAAAATTTTTTTTTTCTACCTAAATCAAAGGAAGGTTGAGAATACTTTTAGCTTATGCTATCTAACTCCTTTACAGTTCAATCCTACATCAAGGTAACAGAGAAACTGTGGAATGTTCTCCAGTAGGGCAGGCCAGCAGGAGAGCCCAGCATGGATCTCTGATGCTCTGTGATCCACGCACAGCCTTTGGAGAGTACACCACACACAGGGGAGGACTGGGCTGCTCCTGTTTCAAATGCCAGGAAACCCCAAGAGACTGCTGTGAGGACCTGCGAGTCAGATCACTATTGTCCTCCTCCCACCTTTGACAAACTGAGTCAGTAAGTTTGGCGAGTGAGTGCACAGGACAGGTGAAATCAAGATGTTCTCTTTGATCCCTGCAGGGGCAGGGCCATGATTGATGCTCTAGTTGGCTGCACTGGTCATTTATAGGTCTGCAGTGATTAGACCAGCATCCACTCAAAGGGACTGGTGCCCCTGTCTTATTAGTTGTTAAACTTTGCTTACTATCGTCCCTGGAACAAACCACATGCCCATTTTCCATTTGGTGCCTCACAAACATGTAACAGAGCTAATGGGACAGTGGTGTGGCAGAGCCAGCTCGTACCAGCTCACCCAACCTTCCCATACCCATTTTATGGATGTAATGTCAGTAGCTTAACATTGGGCTTATAGAGAGTATTTACACCACAGAAATCAGCACACTACAAATCAGACTTTTTTGTTGTCGGAGAGTCAGTTTATCAGCTCATCGCATATCCTAGATGTGTAGATCGATGTGTGAGTCCTTTGTTTAGTCATTCATCCATTATTTCACTTATGACACAATCAAAAACATTTACTGCTATATAATTTATCTCTGAAACTGGGACATTTTCAAGAATAAAAGGACATATCATTAAAAATTATACCAGAACACCCCAGAATAAATGGAGATTGTCTTGGGCAAACTAGAATGTATTGTCACAATATAGCATTGCCTCTAGGCACCTGTGCTTGTTGTTGGGGACTCAACAATCATGAGAGACACAATCTCTACCCTTCTGACATAACAGCCTACTAGGGTAAAACATTATATCAACAAACACCATTATTTACTGCTTCATTCCCTAGGAATTTTATTAAGAGGCTTAAATCAAATACCATAAGAATAGTTAACATAAAACGTGGGGGTTTTTTTTTAGACAACAATTTTATGGTATTTTTATTTGTAATAGGGAAAATTTGGAAATATCCATCAAAAGGAGAATGGATAAACTAACAGTGGCATACTGCTGCATATTTACAAAATAGAATACTACTCAGCAACAGAAAAGAACAAACATTTTATTTTATACAATTTTTGCCCCAAGTGTGTTTACAGAAAGGAACAAACTATGGATACATGAAATGATACAGATGTCCAGATTTTACTGAGTCATTTTGGGGAGAAATAGAAGTAGAGCATAAGAAATTACAAACTATCGGATCTCATATAAATCTCTAGTGTAGGCAATACAAATCTATGATGATGGCAATAATACCTGAGAGTACAAGGTGTGGAGCATTGCCTGGAAGGTGCATAAGGGAACGATAGAAATTCTACATGTTGATAAGGATGTAGTTATATGGCCATCTGCATTTTTCAAAGCTCACTGAACTGTAAACATATGTGTGTCTATTAAGACACCCTATTTGTGTCTTATTAAGACAAATTACTGGGAAAGAAAATCAAGATAACATCATACAAATAAATCATTTTAATTAAAGTAAAACAAATCGAACTAGTCTTATAAAACGTATTTTTATCTTAATCATCTAACTTCAAGAAATTGTGAGTTGTGACTATATAAAGTAATTTGACTATCTTAAAAAGCAAACCATATAAAAAAGTGGTTCGAAGTGATCACCCTGAGAAGTTGTGTGTTTATCCCATTGAGACTACCATTGTTGGAACATTCAGGTCCCAAGGATATTTCGAATAACTTTGATTGCAGTCACTCTTCATCCTTGTAGTGTGGATTTAACTTTTGAAGTGGATCAAAAGTCATCATCTGGCATTACGTCTGATTAAGAAAAAAAGCAACTGAGCTGGGTAGAACACTTTGGTTTAAAACAGGGTGAAATCATAAGGTCATGAGAAGAAGTTTCCCGAGTGGTTAGCTAATGTGGCTCTGCAAATGGACACTCCCAAGAAACACTGTAAAATTACACTCAATGCATTTGGATGAGCATTCCTAATTTTTTAAATCATGCCAAGAGCTTTTGGCCACTTCGTATCAGCACAGGTATGGAAGAAGAGCAAGGTTGCAGTGGAATGAAGAATTCCTAGTGGTTTCATATTTTTACCACCAAAAACTTACTGAGATATATATACTTTTTAGTCAATGACAAGTATTGAAATAGCTAGTCAAAAGCCAAAATGTCCTAAATATGGTTAATCTTAAAATGTTCCTATGGAGAAAAGTAGGTGCGAGTTTTCTGATCGTCAGGTGGTGCTACTTCTCACATAAATTTCTATTAGTGAAAACTGAGCCCAAGCCCAGGTCCTGTCCTGCACTCATTCACTCAACACTGAATGATGGGGCTCTGGTGATATTTTAGGGCTCAGCCATGGGCATGGCACAGCAAGGAAAAGTCACAAGACTGCTATTCCTGTGGAAGTCATAGCCAAGTGGGCAAGGCACAGTTTGATTAAATAATACGCAAATAAAAGGATGCTTGCAAACTGCTGTGCTAAATGCCATAATAGCAAAGCACCAGGCTCTATAAGAGAAGATGACCCTCTTGAGGAAGTAAGATTCAAGCAGGAATGGGAGGAATTAACGGGTCAAAGCTAGAGAGCAAACTAGTGTAAGGAGAGAACAGCTTGTGAAGAAACCCAGAGGCTCACGTTAAGATCAGAGAATCATTCTGCTTTGGAAATCACATCACCAAACTCATCCTTTGGTAAGAGAGGAAAGTGGAAAGATCAAGTCTAGAGACCAGATGTCCTGACTCACATCGCATTCAGGGCCTTTCTCAGCACCCCAATGCCATCTCGCTAGAGGAGAGGAGCAACTACTCCTTTCAACACAAGCTTCTGCACAGCCAAAGAAACTGTCAAGAGAGCAAACAGACAACCCACAGAATGGGAGAAAATTTTCACAAGTTACACATCCGATAAAGGGCCGATAACTAGAATCTATTTAGAACTCAAGAAAATCAGCAAGAAAAAAATCAAACAACCCTATCAAAAAGTGGGCAATGAGACTAAACAGAAACTTTCCAAAAGAACACGAAGAATGGCCAACAAAACATATGAAAAATGCTCAACATCTCTAATCATCAGGGAAATGCAAATTAAAACCACAATGAGATATCACTTATCTCCAGTGAGAGTGGCCCTTATTAACAAGTCCAAAAATAATAA